TTAAAATTTCAGAGTGTTCTGCAATAAGATCGTCAATCATTCATATTTCACGAATAGCGTTTTGATATGCATCTTGGTATCGAGTGCTATGTTAGCCGCAGAGGACCCACTTGAAGCACAATCGCCACGTAATACGGTTCGTTATTGCTTTTCAGCCATACTTCATAACGAATTTTATTTTCCGGGCAAAAAAGAAACAAATCCTCGGAACAATATCTGATTTCGTTTCATTAGATGAAAACTTTATCGAATGAGCGAAGTTTTCATTAACATATTTACTCAAAATCAGATGCTGTATTCGACCAGACGGTCTGAACGAAATTGAAACTTTCAACTCAAAATTTTCTTTCCATGTTAGTGAAATTTTCAATTTTCAGATTTTAAACTACTTCGATTACTTCTTCACGACCGTTTTCACAGTGGAGATAACTCTGAAAGTAGTTGTTTACGGGTTGGTCTTCCATAAGGGTTCATTTTGTCGGAACGCATTCAACCTATTGGATATTCTCGTTGTTGCGGTATCGTTGGTTTCTTTTGTGCTCAAATCAGACGCCATCTCAGTGGTCAAAATTCTCCGTGTTCTCAGAGTGTTGCGTCCACTGAGAGCAATCAACAGAGCCAAAGGACTGAAAGTATGTAGTNCACGCCTCATCAAACCACATTAATCTGTCTGTCAATCATGACTATCGCGTAGATTTAATAGGATGTTGGATGATCTCATCTAAAAAATGACGATTATTGTGGAATTCTTGCACTGTATCGTTACCAATTGTCATGTAAATGAAATTAACCAATTCTGATTGCAGCACGTAGTACAGTGTGTGATCGTGGCGGTGAAGACTATCGGTAATATCATGCTGGTCACCTTCATGCTCCAGTTCATGTTCGCCATTATTGGTGTTCAACTGTTCAAGGGAACCTTCTTCAAATGCAACGACGAATCAAAGATGACCGAGCAAGAATGCAGGTATCATTCTGTACTTTCTGCTTTCATTGCTCTATTTCATCGGATATGTTCGGTGAACTGTTTATTGCAAAACTATTAAGAGCCACCATCGACAGGGTCATTCACGTACCAGAAAAAATTACTTATAAAGTTTTATTGAACGGCATATTGCGCCTTTAATGTTTTGTTGCCCCAGTTATTATCGAAAATAAATGAAATTTTTGAAACGAATTCAGAGGAGAATTCTTGGCATATGAGGATGGTGATCCAATGAAACCGCAAA